AAGGATTAGTAGGAACTCACTTTGGATTTGGGAACAGCATTATAGATTCAATCATTATGAAGATTCAGTTATACTCTGTTTCAAGTGAAAAATTAGCCTTGGATTTGGCTGCTAATCTGAATGAATCAGGCATCAACTTGGAACATTGTGAGCTTACAATTATTTCCAGGACATTTAACTGGCCCAAATCCCATTCACGCCTGAGCCAACGGTTTAGTTGAATTTAGACTCATGGTGGTTACTTTATTTGTAACTTCAACTGTTGCTCTTGCACACTTAAAATATCACTACCATTTCCCTGAAACACTTTCCTAACAGGAGAACTGGCAATATCCTCAACACAGCGTAGTGTGTCTTTTTAAGAAGAAAAAGACAAAGTAGAGGAATAAATGATTATTCACCTTTCTTTACTAGCCAGCTCTGCACATGATCTCTAATATAAAGTAAGCAATTTTCCAAATTGACAAAAATCCCAAGATATTTCTGTACAGTGCATGCAAATTCCTCCAGTGCTGATGGACAGTATGTTATAATGTGTGTGTTTTCCTGCATTTTTGAACAACACTCTTAAGAATATTGTTGTGACTGCTGTTGCAAATCACTATCAATAACAAAACATTCTAATCTACACAAGAGACCATATTACATGCCTACGCTTAACTTACTCTGATTTTGGCATTTTTATCCTGGGATTAATGCTGTAGCTGATTAACTTGGCAAATACTTGCATTGCTGCTACCTTTTCTATATACTTGCAACTTATCATTCCTCCCAAATGTATCTCTAACTACTGAAATACATCATATTGAAATGTCAATGGTATGTTCACAGCATGATTAATATGTCTTAGCTTAAAATTAGCTCATTTTCTTTGACAAAGACCAATGAAATTCTGTTAGTTGTGTTTTTGCCTTAAAACTTATGGTCAAAAGGAAATGCTTTTAAATAGGAAATTAGATTGCTTTGTGTGGGAGTTTAATTATAACTTCAGTGAAAATTGTAAATAATTCAAATTATGTTACGGGGTTTGCAAGAATGGAATCTGGGATGATGGAGATGGGGGAAGATGTGGCTGAAAAATTAGGAAGGAAGCTGGAGTTTGCATGCTGCTGTTTCCATACTTGCACTGCATTTAACCAGCAGCTAGGAAAGTGGTTAATGGCCCTCCTGTTCTCTGACTATATGAGTGACATAAATGGTTAACTGAGGGTCTTTGTGTCCCTCTGCTGGAATTCTATCAGCAGTTGGTAGGGCTTTTGAGACGTGTGGTCTCCCAGGAGCTCGGATTTGGGAAGAAGGTGCCAGCTGACCTATAAAGGGTTCCCCTGTGCAACAACCCTGATCCTACCACCAACCTCATTCCAACGTCAACCTTCCCTTGCTCACTGGGATTTGTCTGACTTGCCCCAGTGATTCCCCCAACACATACTTTACTGCCAGGATAACATCTATGCAGTTCAGTGGCTACAGCTGTGATCAAAGTACTCTTGATCCTCTGATTTGCTGGTAGGTCTTTAAAGGACGTAGGTTCCCTGTCCAAGAAATGGGAGTCCCGAAGGCAGCTCATTAGTTGCTGGGTGGACTTGAAATCTGGTCACAGCTCCTCACAATGGCTGAGATGGAATCGCCCCTCATTTTCTAGCCACTCATGGGGGCCACTCGGACTTCAGTCATTTCTTCTGGTAACATATACAGAATCATTAATGGTTCATTCTCAACCTTGAGGCTTTGCCTCAATTAATGACAGTCTACTTGCACTGAATCAGCCCTCAAGTAGCATTAATGTTGGTTTTCTCCTTGAATTGGTATTCTTATGTAATGTCTTTATGAGTGCAGGATAAAAAGCAAATATGGATTTTCTCAGCAATAACTAAGGGCATACAAATGCTAAACAGTGGGGCTGGGATTTGCAAAGTGCCACAGGACTGGGTCCCAGTGCAGCTGGGCTTTGAAAGTTGTTGTCTCAGAGGACTTCTCATCACCCCATGGCTCTGGGACAGTTCTGAATTTTCAGCAGGCCAATAGTGGATAAGATGCTCGGAAACCACTTGGCTCCAATTAAGAGCCCTTTCCATTGCAAAACGGATAAAACTTTCAAAATATTTCCTGGCAAGCCCAAACAATCATGTGAATGACAGCATGGCTGTCGGGTTCACTGTGGGATCCAAACAAGTTTCTTTGGAGGTTTTTTATGAGGAAACTGTGAGGCATTACCAGCAACGGCATAAGTACTGGCCCTTACTTTGTCATGTTTGCCTCAGCCTAACTCCTGGCTTTCGAATAGCTGACTGCTCAAATTGAAATGGTTGCTCTCAAGATGTCTTCAATCTACCTTTGCCATTTTGCCAACGAGGCAGCTCCCACCTCCTGCTCACTCCTGAATTAGACGAACTGAACATGAAATCACGTCTTATGTTTGGAGTCGAGGCCCAGAATTCATCCAAATGTCACGTTGCCAATGCCTGAATTGAAAGTCTGGTACTGATTTATTTATGAGACCGTCTTAAAAAATGAATAAAATCAGTTGTACTACATTATCTTGGAAAGTGAACATGTTGGAAGTAAGCCAAATCCATGACGACACTTATCTTGCCGTGTTCAATTAGATTTTTTAAACAAAATAACATTTTGTAAAGCTTTGTTCTAGTAAATTCTTGGAGCAATTAGTGAAGATTAATCCAACACACTACAACATTTCTAAATGTTTAAATCCATGGCTTTTCAATAGTTGAATGCTCATGACTGTTCTTTTTAATTATTTCAGCTGATGTACGCACATTAGTTTTAAGTTTATGTTTCTTCTGTCCATATTCGTCTTCTTTCAAATGTTAAGTTAGTCATTCTGTGCATGGAACAGGAGAACTCCAGTTCCAACACCCTGCAGAAGTTACCAATTCTAATGCCTTATAAGGATAGAACTTAGTGAGAGTTCACCTAAAATCTTCAGAATTTTTTTTACAGAGGCCAAAAGAAAGAATCTGATCAACGTGTCAAGTTTGCTTCGGTAGACTACTGGATTATTTTACAAACAAAAACAACTAAAGCAATTTTTAACAATTATAGCTTTTCAGTTGTTTCTCATCTTCACATTTGTCAGCATTGTGCTTCAGCATAAACCATACTTGTTCATATTCTAATATAACAGGAACCAAAGTAAATGTTATTTTAAGATCCAAGATAAAACATTTTGCTACATGTATAACTTTAAAATTCTGCTACCTCAGACTCTTTAATTACTTATTGAGTTGCACAAGCAGAGGCCTCCTGACACTAACTTTCTTGTATTGCTATAAAGAGACACAGATTCAAAACTTTTTGTTTCATACACATGAGGACTGGGAGGCAATAAACAAAATTTTGGAAGGGAACACGAATTTATACAGCAAGACAAGAGGGTGCTGATTGCTTGAACCATTGATGGCATGGGATGTTGCAGGAATTGTTAACTGTTAATCTTAGCTGATTAAACACAGACCAGGAGGTAGACTCAGAATGGTCATTGCATTAAAATGGGAAATGCAGCAGGGATTGGCAGTCTCTGTAACCCTCTCCTCAATGAAAATGGTGCAGTATATGGACAAATGACATTTGTCTATAAAGAACAGGATCCTGTGTGTGAATATGTGTAGCTTCTATTACATGCATACTGTGAGCCTGACTGGCTTCCTGTGTAATACTTAATAGAGTCAAGATAACTTAGCAGACACAGTTTAATAGCATGGTATTCTGAGGTTTTCAAGCACAGGCTGGTTGACCACAATCAGCATGCTGCAGACTGTCCAATGGGAGTTGTTTGATATGGCCCATCAGCCATCGAGGTAAGTGGCCTACATATCTGATATCACACTGGCACTGAAACTCATATATCACATTAATAATTAACATAGTAGGCAAAACATACCTTTGACTTGACAACAGCACTATGTAACTGGGGAAAACATTTTGTTTACTACTGTATCTACTATAGAAGAGCATGGTGCTGACTATGCCCAGCAATCATTTTCTGGTTATAGAATCCCTACAGTGTGGAAACAGGCCCTTCAGCCCAACAACTCCACACCAACCCTCAGAGCATCCCACCCAGACCCATCCCCCTATAACCCACCTAATCTACACATCCCTGTGCGTGTGTGTATCTGTGTGAGTATGGGTGAGTGTGTGTGTATGCGTGTGGATTCTGGCTTGGTGTGCATGTAATGGGATGAGAAGCCATGAGAAAACTCACTAGCGGCTTATGGATACAACTACACCACCTACACCGCCATCTCGCCCCTCGCCCACCCCCACTCCATACACGCACACACACACACAAAACTGATACTGAGTCAACTTCGGTAAAATGAAGACCACAGTCTCAGAACTCAGCATAAGGGGAAGTCACTTAGCACTGAAGTGAGGAGGATGTTTTCTCCCCCACAGAGAAGGGAGAATCTTTGGTATTCTGTCTATCCTAGTACAAGTAAAAGCTTAGTAGTTCAATATTCAAGTTGCATGTATGCAAATTTCTAACATCTATATATGTCTGCATACAATGAGCTTATTTACATTAGAATATATTACATTTCAGTAAAACCAAAAGCCTTAGCATTCGTTAACCACTGTGACCAAGTACATACTCATTATAGTGGTATTACACATTCTTCATTTCTCCAGATAGTGATTGAACAGGAGTATGTTGGTTTAAGGACTGTTTGTATAATTGAAATTCAAGCCTTGATAGTAGAGTATATGATTTTCAAGCTAATTACATTTATTATGTAAATACTATTTTTGTAAGAATGTAATGGCTTTGTGTAATCGAAGACATGAAGTTGCTATAAATTATACAGCAATTAAAGCAATCCAAAATAAACATGTAACAATGGTATTGTTATAATTCAGAAAAGGTGCAATTATAATTGGCAACAAAAAAAGCCTCTCTCCATTATTTCTTAGATAATAGATAAATGACTTGCACTGAAGATTACATGTTCTGGTTTGAGGCTATTAAATATACTCACCTGGCCAGCAGATGAGGGGCTGGCACAATTCTTCCTATAACAAGCCAATATGTGGGCTGTTTGGTTAACCAGTATCTCTCGAACAGTCTTTAGAGGTTGGCTTAGAATGGCTCTGTATGCTGAGTGAAACAAGCAAAAAAAAAAGTTTAAAACCTGCCAAGGAAATCCTGCTTTCATGCACCCAAGTAATACAAGAATAATTATTACGTAAATTATAAGTGATCAGTCTAGACAGGATTCAGAAAATATAATCAGAGATAGTAGGAACTGCAGATGCTGGAGAGACAACAAGGTGCAGGGCTGGATGAACACAGCAGGCCAAGCAGCATCATAGGACACAGCAGGCCAAGCAGCATCTGCTCCTATGATGCTGCTTGGCCTG